TTAACAAAAATCTTTAATACAAATAAGAAAAATTCCTAAAAATGATTTTGACGAAATTCCTTTAAAAATGAGTTTGAGGTCGATCGGATGGTTAACAAAAATGATTAAACAAACAGTTTATGCTAATTACCCACTGTTGTGTGTGGAATTTCGCAAATTGCTGAAATAATAATACAAAAATTTGTTTTTTATTACCCACTGTTGTGTGTGGAATTGCCAAAATTGCTGATATACCTATTTATTGAGCTTCTATGTAGGTGAAGCTTGTAATGGTCGCAATTCTCCTATTTGAATCATAACAGCTTGCGTTTGTGTAACGACGCTATAGCGATCAGCTTTTGTCTGTCACGGTCAGCTGCGAATGATTCTGCCGCTGCTATAAGTCGCCTGCATGCACGTTGTCAGCACAGCTATCTTCAATCTAATTTTCAAAAGTTTCTTTACCATCGAAGGTCTGGGTACGGCGGTTCGGACATAGCCCCACCAAAAAAATTAAACTAAAAGCATCAGTCGTTTAATTCGTTGAATTTAAATTCCAACTAAATTGAACCAAAAACAAAAAATAAAAAAAAAATACAAAAAAAAAGGAAAACCCTAAAAGTGGCCGATGGACGAAATATCAATTTTTTTGTTCGTTTGATGATAAACCTTTCGCTACGCCAGCCGGCCACCAGCACCTCACCGGCATATATTTCTTTGTGCCAAGATCTGGTCACTGTTTTAACCAGTTCTTGTCTGCCTGCCGAAAGTAATTTTTGGAGGAATCAATCTTGCCGCCGCCGTCTCTGACATAAAAACCCACTTATTTTGAGGCAACCGCCACGTGTGCCCATTGGACGGCACTGTAATTTCTTGGGACGGCAATGTCATTTCTGCCCCCATTAAATAGACGTCAGCCTCAACTGCGGATCAGCTGCCATTCCCTTGTTCATGCCAGCAAGAACGGGCAGGCGCCGTTTCCACAGTCTGGAATCCGGAAGAGGGAGTAGCCTTTTGGGCCCCATTGACGCGCCGCTGAACAGAAACCCAGATGACATCGCCCATTAAGTTAGCCGGAGCGTGCAGATGCATGAAAATTGCTGTTAAATGTTTTTAGTAAAAAAATTGTTAATTAAATCTTATGAGAGACTTCCAAAAGTTTGTGCAAAGTGCATTGATTAGGGCCCTCAAAAAACCGCGTGCAAGTGCAGGGAAAAAGAAAAATTTACATCTACATACATATCTTTATATATATAGAAAGGAATACTAGTATAAATCTATTCCCCTTCTTGTTGGGGTAGAGTCCAAAGTCATTTCTGAATTTTTTTATATTTTTTTGAATTTTTCCCAGTTAGTTTCGGAGAGTATCTTCTAAGTACTCACAATTTAAAAACCCTCCTGTGCCATAATAATATAATCAAAACAATTTAAAGCCCCACAGAAGACAAAAGAAAACAAATGAAAAGAAAACAAATGAAATGAAAATGATAAGTCTGTACCTTTTGTTTTGAGTATATTTTCTTATTTTTGGTACAGATAAGCACAGCCAAGCTGACATGCGCACCTGCTGAGTTTTTTTTTTCGACTTTCTGTTTCACATTACGCTTTAGCTCCGATCAATATGTTTATGACCGTATCAGTCTGGTGAATGCTTATCATCTTTGATTCTACCTACACCCCGCTCAATTATTAGCTGAAACAGAAGCAACCTAAAAGAAAAGATTTTTAACAGAATCAAATATATGTACACAAAGACGTATCATCGTATTCACTGATCAGCTGGTTGCGCTGCGCTCCGATTTGCCCATGCGCTTCGAGCTTAACCTTCTGTTGCCCATATTTTTTTTCAACCATACAATTAACCATCAACTACAATTATATTGACTCTATTATAATACATTTTTTTTGCTTTTGCCGAATACACTTTAGTTCAATTTACTAATGTCATTTTTTTTCTTGCCTAGCCTTGTTCTATAATTATTAAAATGCACTTTAGCGAAATTTTGAGATTTGTTTTTTATTTTGCTCAATAAAAATAAAATATTACCTGAATAGTTTATAAAACGAATTATTTTTGAAGAATTTTTGAGCCATTGTAAAAATATTAACTGACTAGTTTTAGTTATTGAATTATTGTTGAATCATTAATGCCACTTGTAATAAGATGCAGATTATCCAACGGAAGGATTCAATTTCATTGAATAATGCTTTTCTTTATAATAAATATTAATTACGGATTTTGATTAGGCATTGCTAAGTTTTCTTTCCTGGTGACATGGTGATATAATGTCGTAGAAGATTGTTTTTTTTTGGGATCTTCGAAACCTTAAACGCTGAAGATCATGGTTGGGAGGGTATCGAACGCGAGAGTCAGCTTACATCCAAGACTTCGCCTCTTCGGAATATATATGCCCTAATGAAAGCTATCACCATTGTATTGGCACTTTAAGTGCTCGTTAAGTTATGCCTGTTTGAGATTTTGTTTCTTCGGAGTATCGGTCTCCAATTTAGATTCTCTAGGGATCCTAAAATAAAATTGTGTATGCAGGTCGAGACATGGCAAAAAGAACCCCCCACCCGAAAGAGCTAGGGAGCAAGAGGATCCCGCCCTGCCATGCTAACTCAAACACGAGGAGCCTCGGTGAATACTTCCCGAATTATTTTGTGAAGATTGGCTGCTAACCGCCGTCACCGTTGCTACCCGATATGTATTGCTAGAGTAGCTTCACCACAGTTTATGCTACATAAATTTTTGGCGCCCAATCATGGGCCACGAGGTTGTCTATAAAAAAATAAAAATGAGTCTTTATATTATTGTCCACGCACGCTGACGTCGATGTGACTGGTTTAGTCTATCTTCCGCATGCGCAGATACTGGTAGTATACAAGATAGTAATTAGGACTACGATGCTTACAATTCAGAGCTTGAATTATGGCGAGAATCTGACCTTACTATATTGTTGAGTGCCTATATATAAACACGACTATAGTTATTAACACCAGTTATACAATCGGTCCCATACATTTGCTCGTTTTCTTTCTTATAATTTTGGAGAAACAACAGATTAGGTTTGCTTATGGTTTTGTATTAACGATACTATCAAAGATAGTTAGAATGTTGGCCGGAACTTGGCCATATGCTGCTTTGCATATCCTTGCCGAACATTTCTGACTGGATTAAAATGTTGAATGTTACAAACCGCTTTCTAAAGTAGTTTCAATAAACCAGATAAATTACCTACTTTCATTAAACCGATTATAATTCGTAATTAAAATTCTTCTAACTAACTTCTAACTTCTACTCTATTATGTTACCAAACCAATGTCACGAATCAGGAAAAATTTAATTAATCATGTTGCCTTTACGCAGCCCTCAAAATTTACAGCCGTCGTCAGAGAGAGCTGATAACCACTGTATTCTATGCCAGTTAGTAATGGACAATACACAGTCTTGCTATTGCACCCCTTGTAGGCATGTTTTTCACAAACTTTGCTTGGAAGGTTGGTTGGTAAACCATGCTAAATGTCCCAGTTGTAGTGCTGTGATTGACCCAGCCTCAATTAAATTAGTTGTTGGAGATTGCTCGCCGAGAGGAAAACAATCTGCTCCACCTCCACCTACGAACATAGGGAGAACGGTAACGCGCAGTCTAGCAAAATCTCTTTATCCTGGTCCGACCCAGAGTGGCGAGAATCCAACAGCAAGGTTTTTAGATGTTAGTGATGTACCACAATCAGGACTCGACGCTAGCAATAGCACGAATCCACCTGAATTCGCTCCTGCACGACCAGCTCCTGGTGTAAGAAGAAGAGGAAGACTCACTCAGTCCAATAATGCCCGCCAAAATCTGGGAGTGGACTATAGGATAATTCAGGAGATGATCGAACAATCAATCATCACTGCAAATACAAGCAACACCCTTTCCAAGAGTGTTGCAAACCCCGATCCCGGTGTCGCCTAGTATTTCGTCATTCCGAAATGGAAAAATTGCTGACACCATGCAAAAATGGAATCTTAATTTCGATGGGTCTACCGAAGGATTAGGGGTAGAAGAATTTCTATATAGAGTCAAAACATTGACTGATGAAACTTTAGACAGCGACTTTATGGGTCTCTGTAAGCACTTACATGTGCTATTTTCAGGCAAAGCCCGTGACTGGTACTGGCGGTACCACAAGCAGGTAGACCACATAGTCTGGACTGAATTTTGTACTGCATTTCGCCATAAGTACAAAGATTATCGCTCCGATTTTATGAGCAAGGAACTAGTAAGAGCTAGAAAGCAAAACCCTGGGGAAACATTTGTGTCGTTCCATGACGCTGTAGCGTCACTGATCGATAAATTTGCAATTAAAATTGACGAGGAGGAGGTAATCGAAATTTTAAAAAATAATTTATTACCCGAAACCCGACATAAACTGTATACCAGCCAATAAGTTCAGTTGGCCATCTACGTAGATTGGTCCAAATGAACGAGAATTTAGTTAATGAGCTCAGTTGTCGCACTGATGGTATGAATAAATCCAGGACTATTGGCCGTCGCCAAGTATATGGACTAGAAGAGACTTTTATTGAACCGGAGGTAGAAAATTCAGAAGATACAAGCTTTGACATCGTAGCAATTCGTAGATGTCATGCCAACTTTAAATGTTGGAAGTGCGAAGAGCAAGGGCATCTGTGGGAAAATTGCCTTGCTGACCGCCGTATATTCTGTTACGGATGCGGGGCACCCAACATTTATAAGCCCCAGTGCCAAAACTGTATCCGTAAAGCTTCGGAAAACTAACAGAAGGGTGCATCCAGCAGCAGTCGGATGCCCCCAAAAATCTAATTAATTCCCATGCGAACTGTGTACCTGTGGACCGAAGCAAAAGCTTGGTCCCTACACCGACTTTAAAGTCACATTCCAACAATTTAGAAATAGCTAAAACTATTAAATTACGATTTTTACCGTATCATGAACGGTTAGCTAATTATTTGCATGTCCGAAATAAGATTTTTTATGAAGAAAAACCCCGTATTTCTCAGCGAACGCAGGGCTTGAAAAGTTATTATTCAAAAATCAAGCAACATAGCAAGCTTTTAGTTTCGACAGTTTTTTGCAATCCCACCGATATGCGCAGCTATGCCGAAGTGTCATTTTTAACCTTTACCGAGCTTGGTCTATTGGATACAGGCGCGAATATGAGCTGCATAGGTTCTACGCTTGCGCAACAAGATTTTACCGCAATGCCGGAATTTAAGCCTATTAAATCGCATGTCAGAACAGCAGATGGCCATAGTCAGAAAGTCATCGGAGTGCTTGAAGTTAAAATGCAGTATAAATCGGCTACCAAGTCCTTGAAACTGTATATGATTCCTTCTATAAACCAAAATCGAATTTTGGGTCATGATTTTTGGAGAGCCTTTGAGCTTGCGCCAACCATTATAAATTCTGTAGAACTAAAATCAATGAAAAAAGAGCAGGAAACAGAGTTGATTGCATACCCCTTGGATAGCCAGCAAACGCAACAGCTGCACGTAGTAAAGCAGTTGTTCCCTAACGCTGCTGATAGATTAGGCCGCACAACATTGATCCAACACCGTATAGATATAGGAGACGCACGTCCAGTGAAACAAAGATTCTATCCTGTAAGTCCGGCCGTAGAAAAGTTGTTATATGCAGAAATTGATCGCATGTTGCAGCTTGGAGTTATTGAGCCGTCTGTAAGCGCTTGGAGCTCGCCTATGCGACTCGTCCTTAAGCCCAACAAGGTGCGCCTTTGTCTGGATGCTCGAAGACTGAATGACGCCACCAAAAAAGATGCTTATCCTTTGCCGAGCATCGATGGCATTTTTTCGCGGCTACCTAAGGCGAATATAATTTCCAAACTAGATTTGAAAGACGCCTATTGGCAAATAGAACTCTCCGAGGATTCAAAGCCTCTCACTGCTTTTACGGTCCCCGGAAGACCGCTATATCGGTTTAAGGTCATGCCCTTTGGCCTTTGTAACGCGCCTTCTACCATGTGTCGGTTAATGGACGCGATAATTCCTTCTGACCTGCGCTATTGCGTGTTTGTTTATTTAGATGATCTGTGTATTGTGTCAGAAGATTTCAGTTCACATCTGGCGGTATTGGTTCGCATCGCTGAGCAGCTTAGAAAAGCCAACTTGACTTTAAATATTTCGAAAAGTCAATTCTGTGTAACAAGTATCAATTATCTTGGTTACGTGATTGGTAGTGGAGGTATTTGCACAGATCCGGAAAAAGTAGCTTGTATTGTAAATCGGCCGCCGCCAAAAACCTGAAGCAAGTTCGAGGATTTCTAGGAGTTTGCGGTTGATATCGTCGGTTTATATGCAACTTTTCCGATCTCACTTGCCCCATAACGGACATATTATCGACAAAGAAAAAGTTTGAGTGGACCCCTGAAGCACAGACCGCAATGGACAACTTAAAAACAGTGCTAACATCCTCGCCGGTTTTCAAAAATTCTGACTTTAAGAAGAAATTTTTCTTACATTGTGACGCTAGTGATTTTGGCATTGGCGCCGTTTTAATACAGATGTCTGAAGATAATGAAGAACAACCGATAGCTTTCATGTCAAAAAAATCAAGCCGTGTGCAGCGAAACTATAGTGTTACCGAGCGTGAATGCCTAGCAGTCATATTAGCCATCGAGAAGTTCCGATGTTATTTGGAACTCCAGGAATTTGAAGTGGTTACGGACCATTCTAGTTTGCTATCGCTTATGCGCCAGCAAAATATATCGGGTAGACTGGCACGATGGGTTTTTAGACTGCAACAATTTAAATTTTCCGTCTCCCATCGGAAAGCCAAAGAACACATTGTTCCCGACGCTTTGTCTCGGTTGCCTGAGAATGAAATCGCTCAGTTAGACATGGGTCCTGTAATAGATCTTGAGTCCGATACATTTATGGACGCTAGCTATGTACAAATTAAAGACAAATTTTCCCAAAATTTCACTCAGTTTCCGGACATAAAAATCGTTGATAAGTTTTTGTATGTACGCACCGAACATTCGAGGGGAGACTCGACACCAAAAAGTCCTTCATGGAAACTATGGGTGCCTGATCGACTTAAAGTCGATGTGCTCAAACAAGTCCATGACAGCATAAAGTCGTCTCACGCCGGCATGCAAAAAACCATTGAGAAAATCCGCAGACATTTGTTCTGGCCAGGATTAGTTAAAAATGTACGTGAATACATACGAAATGGCGAGATATGTAAAGAAACTAAGGCTCCAAATTATACCCTTCGGCCACCTATGGGTGCTCACATCCCAACTTGCAGACCATTTCAAAGGCTTTATATTGACCTGCTTGGGCCATACCCAAGAAGCAAAAGCGGTCATGTGGGATTGTTAATAGTCTTAGATCACTTTAGCAAGTATCGTTGGTTGCAGCCCCTGAAGAAATTCACCTCAGCTGTGATACAAAAATTTCTTCTTGAACAAATTTTCCATTGTTTTGGTGTCCCACAAACTATAATAAGTGACAACGGCACCCAGTTCAAAGCTCGTGAGTTCAATGCCTTCTTAGCCGAACTTGGCATTGAACATCTGTATACAGCTCTATATTCACCGCAGAGCAATGCTGCAGAACGAGTTAACCGCTCAATACTCGCCGCCATTCGCTCGTATTTAAAACAGGATCAGACCCATTGGGATGAACATATTACAGGGATTTCATGCTCCTTAAGGTCTGCTCTGCACCAATCGATTGGGTGTTCTCCATACCGTGCCCTATTCGGGGTGCATATGATCACTCATGGTACCGATTACAAATTATTGAAGGGGTTGTCCTTATTGGAAGAACCGCTGGTCCCCCTGTTGCGGTCTGACCAGTTGGCATTGCTAAGGACAGATATTCAGAAAAACATCAGGAAAGCCTATGAGCGCAAAGCGGCTCAATATAATTTACGCAGCAAGCCTGTTTCTTTTCGTGAAGGACAGGAGGTGTTCTGTCGAAATTTTGCGCTTAGTAAATTCTCAGACAATTTTAATGCTAAACTGGCTCCCCAGTTTATTAAATGCCGTGTTAAAAAGAAACTCGGCAATTGTTTTTATTCCCTCTGAGACCCTATATAAGCCTGTAGGTCCCGGATATAACCCTTCTTTTTTACAAAAATTTCTTTACCATCGAAGGTCTGGCTACGGCGGTTCGGACATAGCCCCACCAAAAAAATTAAACTAAAAGCATCATTCGTTTAATTCGTTGAATTTAAATTCCAACTAAATTGAACCAAAAACAAAAAATAAAAAAAAAATACAAAAAAAAAGGAAAACCCTAAAAGTGGCCGATGGACGAAATATCAATTTTTTTGTTCGTTTGATGATAAACCTTTCGCTACGCCAGCCGGCCACCAGCACCTCACCGGCATATATTTCTTTGTGCCAAGATCTGGTCACTGTTTTAACCAGTTCTTGTCTGCCTGCCGAAAGTAATTTTTGGAGGAATCAATCTTGCCGCCGCCGTCTCTGACATAAAAACCCACTTATTTTGAGGCAACCGCCACGTGTGCCCATTGGACGGCACATTAATTTCTTGGGACGGCAATGTCATTTCTGCCCCCATTAAATAGACGTCAGCCTCAACTGCGGATCAGCTGCCATTCCCTTGCTCATGCCAGCAAGAACGGGCAGGCGCCGTTTCCACAGTCTGGAATCCGGAAGAGGGAGTAGCCTTTTGGGCCCCATTGACGCGCCGCTGAACAGAAACCCAGATGACATCGCCCATTAAGTTAGCCGGAGCGTGCAGATGCATGAAAATTGCTGTTAAATGTTTTTAGTAAAAAAATTATTAATTAAATCTTATGAGAGACTTCCAAAAGTTTGTGCAAAGTGCATTGATTAGGGCCCTCAAAAAACCGCGTGCAAGTGCAGGGAAAAAGAAAAATTTACATCTACATACATATCTTTATATATATAGAAAGGAATACTAGTATAAATCTATTCCCCTTCTTGTTGGGGTAGAGTCCAAAGTCATTTCTGAATTTTTTTATATTTTTTTGAATTTTTCCCACTTAGTTTCGGAGAGTATCTTCTAAGTACTCACAATTTAAAAACCCTCCTGTGCCATAATAATATAATCAAAACAATTTAAAGCCCCACAGAAGACAAAAGAAAACAAATGAAAAGAAAACAAATGAAATGAAAATGATAAGTCTGTACCTTTTGTTTTGAGTATATTTTCTTATTTTTGGAACAGATAAGCACAGCCAAGCTGACATACGCACCTGCTGAGTTTTTTTTTTCGACTTTCTGTTTCACATTACGCTTTAGCTCCGATCAATATGTTTATGACCGTATCAGTCTGGTGAATGCTTATCATCTTTGATTCTACCTACACCCCGCTCAATTATTAGCTGAAACAGAAGCAACCTAAAAGAAAAGATTTTTAACAGAATCAAATATATGTACACAAAGATGTATCATCGTATTCACTGATCAGCTGGTTGCGCTGCGCTCCGATTTGCCCATGCGCTTCGAGCTTAACCTTCTGTTGCCCATATTTTTTTTCAACCATACAATTAACCATCAACTACAATTATATTGACTCTATTATAATAAATTTTTTTTGCTTTTGCCGAATACACTTTAGTTCAATTTACTAATGTCATTTTTTTTCTTGCCTAGCCTTGTTCTATAATTATTAAAATGCACTTTAGCGAAATTTTGAGATTTTTTTTTTATTTTGCTCAATAAAAATAAAATATTACCTGAATAGTTTATAAAATGAATTATTTTTGAAGAATTTTTGAGCCATTGTAAAAATATTAACTGACTAGTTTTAGTTATTGAATTATTGTTGAATCATTAATGCCACTTGTAATAAGATGCAGATTATCCAACGGAAGGATTCAATTTCATTGAATAATGCTTTTCTTTATAATAAATATTAATTACGGATTTTGATTAGGCATTGCTAAGTTTTCTTTCCTGGTGACATGGTGATATAATGTCGTAGAAGATTGTTTTTTTTTGGGATCTTCGAAACCTTAAACGCTGAAGATCATGGTTGGGTGGGTATCGAACGCGAGAGTCAGCTTACATCCAAGACTTCGCCTCTTCGGAATATATATGCCCTAATGAAAGCTATCACCACTGTATTGGCACTTTAAGTGCTCGTTAAGTTATGCCTGTTTGAGATTTTGTTTCTTCGGAGTATCGGTCTCCAATTTAGATTCTCTAGGGATCCTAAAATAAAATTGTGTATGCAGGTCGAGACATGGCAAAAAGAACCCCCCACCCGAAAGAGCTAGGGAGCAAGAGGATCCCGCCCTGCCATGCTAACTCAACCACGAGGAGCCTCGGTGAATACTTCCCGAATTATTTTGTGAAGATTGGCTGCTAACCGCCGTCACCGTTGCTACCCGATATGTATTGCTAGAGTAGCTTCACCACAGTACATGCTACATAAATTTTTGGCGCCCAATCATGGGCCACGAGGTTGTCTATAAAAAAATAAAAATGAGTCTTTATATTATTGTCCACGCACGCTGACGTCGATGTGACTGGTTTAGTCTATCTTCCGCATGCGCAGATACTGGTAGTATACAAGATAGTAATTAGGACTACGATGCTTACAATTCAGAGCTTGAATTATGGCGAGAATCTGACCTTACTATATTGTTGAGTGCCTATATATAAACACGACTATAGTTATTAACACCAGTTATACAATCGGTCCCATACATTTGCTCGTTTTCTTTCTTATAATTTTGGAGAAACAACAGATTAGGTTTGCTTATGGTTTTGTATTAACGATACTATCAAAGATAGTTAGAATGTTGGCCGGAACTTGGCCATATGCTGCTTTGCATATCCTTGCCGAACATTTCTGACTGGATTAAAATGTTGAATGTTACAAACCGCTTTCTAAAGTAGTTTCAATAAACCAGATAAATTACCTACTTTCATTAAACCGATTATATTTCGTAATTAAAATTCTTCTAACTAACTTCTAACTTCTACTCTATTATGTTACCAAACCAATGTCACGAATCAGGAAAAATTTAATTAATCATGTTGCCTTTACGCAGCCCTCAAAATTTACAGCCGTCGTCAGAGAGAGCTGATAACCACTGTATTCTATGCCAGTTAGTAATGGACAATACACAGTCTTGCTATTGCACCCCTTGTAGGCATGTTTTTCACAAACTTTGCTTGGAAGGTTGGTTGGTAAACCATGCTAAATGTCCCAGTTGTAGTGCTGTGATTGACCCAGCCTCAATTAAATTAGTTGTTGGAGATTGCT